TGCCCGCCCAGGAGAGCGCGGCGCGGGTGCTGGACGCCATCGCTAACCGCGTGCCCGAAGACACGGAGACAGGTCAGTTCCAGAGATAGCACGATTTTCTGTTTGCGAGATTTCCCTGTAAGACAGAGGGTGCAGCCAAGGTACAACATTCGAACCCCAGCGTTACCTTTGGGAATCGAAATGTTTTCCCCCTTACCCCCCCCCATTGGGTTGTAAAGACTTGCCACGCCTACAGTCTAGCCTTCTCCACTTCATGGACATATGGTGTCATGCACATATGAGTGGACGCGGGTCTTCGCGCTCACCATCAAACCTTTTATCATCAGAATTAAGGTAATTGAGGCGTCTTTTCTAAAATTCGTAAGATGCACCAAATTGCTCTGAAGTCTTTACTTTTTACTCTCTCGCTACTGCTTACCCAGTATAAAGTATTGTAACGCTGCGAAAAAACGGCGAATTTTCGACACAAAAGCTGTTATTGCCGGGCTCTGCTAGCAAAAAAGTTGATAAATCCTCTTGATAAAAACCCTCTAACACAAGGTGTACCCGGAAACCATGTTTTGTAGATCCATAATACATAAAAACTGATTGAAGGCAAAACGTCTGTCTGTCTGACTGTGGTCAACTATGTCACCTAAACCGTTCAGTTTATTATATATTATATTATATTACATTATATTACATTATATTATATTATATTATATTATATTATATTATATTATATTATATTATATTATATTATACTATACTATAATATAATATAATATAATATATCAGTCTCCAAAACTGACATTCTTCAATCGATCTCACAAATGTCGCAGCCCCTTGAATTTGAAACCTATATTTTAATTTTTGGGGCTACTTTACATGTGGCATCTAGGACATTTTAAAAACTTTCAACGAAAAAATGTGTCGATTTTTTAAAATTATATGTTGTTGCCGGATAGCAGCCGGATAGCTTTCTTCGTTAACACATAATTAAACTGCTATTGACAAGGTCAATTTTCTTGCGAAGAATACTGACTCTTTGATCTCTCAAAGTAATTATTATTTCATTTTACAAGAAATAACTTATTATTAGAAGTGTTTAAGTCACCAAAGATTTTTATTGTTAATACCATATTCGAATCTCCACCGGTTCTATAATTTTAGGTCATAGACATCATATACAATTATTTTTTCTGTTTGGATCAGTTCCATTGTGTTAGATTCCTCTGATTTCATAATGTTACAGTTAAAGACTGGAAAATAATGTAATATGAAACACCCAAAATATGTACATAAATATGTAATGAAAACTAAGAATATGTAATAAATATGTAATAAATATGTAAAAGCTGTTATAATAAGTAATATGAAAATACAATAATTATAAAACACATTTCCAGAATACAAAATTACATTTATAAAACATTTCTTAAACAATTTTTAAAACGAATTAAAACGTTTTAAAAGTTATTGGGAGACTACAAGTTGATGAACACTTATACTACACAACTTTCCCGACAGTAGTAAAAGCTTCATCCATTGCTATCCAGGGCCGACAACATGACACGTCCTTACAATAGAGCAAAGAAGAGAAGCACTCCCCGCTGATATTCTGAGGGCGTAGTGCTACACAAAAGCCGATGTGGCTATTGACTAAGGTCCGACACAAACCCACACCAGCCACTAACACATAGCAGTAAAACGCAATTTTGCGTGTGCACTGCTCCACATAGTACACAAACTTTTGGCTAA